TCTCCTCAAGCAATCGTTTTGTGTTTCACTGCCATCAATTATCTTAAGTAGCAGACTTCTCAGGAAACAGACGTTTACTTCAATGGGATCAAAAGGTCACATCTGTACCTGGCCTGTTGTGACTGGCTCATTTTGATCCATTCTGTTTGTTTCTTTTTTCCAGATTTGTTGGTTGACATCAGGGAGGCATGGCGGCCTCGTGGTCAGTGCGCTTGACTTCGGATCAAGTGTTCCGGGATCAAGCCCTGGCCAGAGACATTGTGTTTTGTTCTTGGGCAAGACACTTTACTCTCACAGTGTCTTTCTCCACCCAGGTGTACAGATGGGTAAAGGCGAATTTAATGATGGGGGTAACTCTGCAATGGGCTAACATCCCATCTAGGGGGAGTGGAAGTATTCCTAGTTGCTTCATGCTACAGAAACCAGGATAAGCTCTGGGCTGATGGGCCACTTGGCTCGTATGCAGACTTTACCTTTTACCTTTTTTACCTTGGTTGTCATCATACTTTAACTTATGATTGATGGCACCCAAAAATGCAATCATTAGTTAGGCTTTGAACTTCAGAGTTTGCATGTTATTGACAGGCACAGCCAAGTTGACTGAACATTATAAGTTAATGATTTTAAACTTAAGTTTGATGTAAGTGTAGATATTCAGTCTCCCTTCTATGGCTGTAAATCCTCACACATCCAATGAGCAAAGTTTAAGCATGACAACTACATGCATTTGATGAAAATTAAAAATAATTATATATATTTAGTTATTCATTAATAAAAAATTTGATCCAAGCATACCTTTCCAAGGCCTTGAATTAACTCTACAGACTTCCCAGCTCGAAATATCTGTTTATAACAAACGATCAAGTGTTGTTGATAGATGTATATATGGTATTTATTTATAGTTTTTTAAGTCAAAAACACACTCAGGTATCTTACAGTTATAGTCACTCTGTAATGTACAGGTTCACAAAGTGGAATACAGTAATAAGTGCATGGTTTTTACATCCAGTGTTCAAAGCCATACACTTGTGTGTTGTTATTACCTGGTTGACAAAATCCTGTAGAAAGCAAGGGACAACAGATTTTAAGGGTTGATTGGCACATCTAATAATCACACCATCAGACCAGAATGATGAACTGTCTACACTGATGGCTTGGATTCTGTCAGTTGAGAGAGAATATTAAATTATGATGAGCTCACGAGCTTGTATCAAATATTTGAGCTTAGAGTAACCCATGCATTTTGCTTAACTTTGAGTTAAAAATGATATTTTGCTCTTTTGAGGAAATTATGTTTTGTTATGATATGGCTTGTATTTGTAGCCGATCTAACGCGTGTTGTCATTGACTAATTCTAGGGTATTATTCTGACTCTATCTGTAATGCCCACAGTCTGATTACAGGCATGCAAAAACAAAGCAAAGAGCCATATGATATAATAAACAATATTATTAACCTCGCACGTGCGCTCTTTAAGGGAAAATCTCAAACCTTGGCCTTGCCGTATTGTCCTTGCTATCTTTCGGTCAATTAACCTGTGAACACAGACATATGTCCGGCTGTTGCTTGTCTCCGCCGAAAATAACGTCTGTGAACCCGAGCCAGGAAACAATTTCTGTGACGTAGGAATTTTAAGCCAATCACAGTTTAGCTCAAGTAGCCCCAGTGAGGTATTCGCTGCGAGGAGCACTCGAGTTTCATCCTATCATGGAATCTGATTGGCCAAGGAGAAACAAAAGTCATTACGTCACAGAAATTGTTTCCTGGCTCGGGTTCGCAGACGTTATTTTTCGG